TATTAAAATTCACTAAATCACTATAAATTTTGTTAGTGGTCATTAGTGACCGATCAACTTGGAGAAATAATAAAATCAACTTAAAGCAGGGCTCTCAATTATGGTATACTGATGGGTCCAAATTGGATAATGGCAGTGCATGAGCAGGAGTTATGGGACCAAACTTTCGTAAAGCAATCGCAAAGGGGAAAAACTGCTTCCATTTTTCAGGCAGAGGTCCATGCCTTAGAGCTTTGTGCAAGAGAATGCATACGTAGGGGCACCCGAGGTACCCGAGGCATTCTATCAGACAGCCAAGCAGCTCTAAAATCTTTAGCAAAATCCTTATTCCAATCAAAGCTGGTTTGGGAATGCTTTCAACTTCTCAACACCCTAGCATCGAGGAACTATGTTACTCTTATGTGGGTACCGGGATACGAGGGGCATGAAGGCAATGAAATAGCAGACATATTAGCAAAGAAGGGTGCATATACTCCTTTCATTGGGCCAGAGCCCTTCTGCGGGGTAACAAATAGCTTCAAAAATAACTTATTATGTGAACGGGAGAAACAGCATCTACTTGAACACTGGAGAGCCCAAACAGGCATGCGACAGTCAAAAAGACTCATTGATCCTGAACACATCAAAGTTGATGCTATCATCAACCTTAGCAGAAATGAAAACAAAATCTACACTGAACTTCTTACAGGACACTGTAGAGTTAATTACCACATGAAGATTATAGGTGCGGTAGAAAGTGATTCCTGTCGACTCTGTCATGAGGAGAAGGAAACATCAGAACATGTTCTATGCAACTGCCCAGCGGTGGCAAGACGTAGACTCGATTAGTAGCGGGATCCTGGTCCCAAATCAAATAGGTAAAATTAAGCCCACTGCAATTATAAGATTTATAAATAGTCTAAAATTGTCCTAGTTGGGCCTATAGGCGCACAATAGGTCTTTTAGGTCGGGGTGCACAAATAGCCTATTTAAATAATAATAATAATAATAAATTTTGTTCCAAAAACTTTTAATGACTTCATGTTACATTAATAACATTTATTTATTTTAATCATGTACTTATATAAAGTAAATTGACAAAAATACTTTACAAAACACATACCAAATTACGTTAAATATACTAGATATTCATATTTTATCGCTCCAAAATATACACTTCATGCTATATCGTTTAGTAAAAAATTAATTGCAATAAAATTGCATCAAAACGAGCCTCAATGTATATTCGTAGGCTTATTGAAATCCGTTTGCGGATTTACATGATGAAATTATAACACGAATTTCCATCAAAAGTGCAAGTGTCATATAAACATTTTGATTTAACTTTGATCCCTTCCGCCTTGATGACCAACAATTTCAACTGCATGGAATGCATAGAATAGTATAGTACATCCTGACATTTCATGACTTTTTCAACAATGGCTGAACGAGTTCATAGATGAGCTTCCATCCTAACCCAATATTGCATGTACTAATGTGTGTGCGTGCTCGTTTTGACACATCACTTGTACTGTGGAACAATACAATTAAGCATGCAAATTTATTTTGAGCAGCTGCCAAAGTATTATAGTAAACCTACAATCACATCTATGGAAGGCAAATAAATAGAGCATGATTTTCATATAAATTTCATACTTAATTGCTGGCCAAATTATATCAAAAAGCATAAATCAGTTGAAATAGAATTTGCATCAGATAACAGCGTCAACTAAGAATAATTGAAGCGTTTACGCAAAGTGAATGGTAGATCTAATATAATAATATTTAGTACACATATTGCATTATAATTTAAATTAATCATTTTTATACAGAACCATTTTATAAATTCAATTTAACACCAACTAAAAGCCTAGAACGGAGAAATTAATGTCTTTTCAATTAAGTAATTGAATTTGTATTCTGTGCAATAAACGCCTAAATTCCATATTAATTTATTATACTAATGTGTACAAAGTCATTTGAGAATTTAGCCATGTATTATCCTTAAGACAGGATAATAATTATGTTGATTTACGTACACATTTTATTACTGCAAGTAGTAGTTTCTATATGGAAATTGCTTGTTTTGTGTGAATGCTTAAGTCTCTGTTAAGGCTTTTAACTAAATAACCGTAAAGGACCTATTGAAGACTGCTAAAGCGAGTGGGGTAAGACAGCTTAAGCATTATTATTTTGCGGTTAAGTAGTACAATTTCTGCAATTATATTGAATAAAAGTATTACTTTTCTTTCAATGTTAAAGCAACAATTGTGGAAAGGCATTATGCACATAAATCATTTGCGGATTAGGCACAATATTGCTTTTCTTTTGAATTTGAGTGTTGGCACTAATTTTCTTTGGAGTTAGTGCCAGATTTGGATTTAAGCAGAAACTAAAGATAAAAATACGCAAAAACATTTAAAGAAAGTTCTTTTTTTAGTGCTTTTGTTTTACTAGAAAAATCTTAATTGAAAATATTAAGTAATTATTAACTAAACATAATTTCGAACGATTTAGAAATTGCCTAAAATTACTAGAAAATTTATGTATATTTTTTAAATTAATTATAATATTTATTTAAATAGCCAATTATTCAACTAAAAATTTGCTGATCACTTATTATATATAATAAAACAATTATTGATACAAATCACCGCAATCTCATTTGAAATTTGGATATAACTTGCTAGTATATATATTTTTTATATTCGACTAAGTTCACTTTTTGTTTAAATTGAATTCAACGTTTATTTAATATTCTTCAATGTAATCTATATATCGACTCTTGTCACAATAATTCTCTAAGGATGCAGTGACGCGGTGACAAATTCCCAAATCATCTTAAAAATCTATTCTAATATATCGACTCTACTTGAGAGTCCTCATCAGGATCTAAAATAAATTAATATTAGTAAAATCTATATCTAAACGTCATCCTCTTCAATCTATTTTCTATATTGCACTAGATTGCAAAACAGCTACAAGCTTGCATTTCTCTTCTCATTAAACAGACAGTATACAATCACTGAAGTGACACGCCGATAGTAGTGTTCGCTTAGGGTCATGTTATGCAGAGTGATTCGAGCACGGCAAAATTCGCTCTTTCGAGCTATGCCAAAAATACATGTTATGCAGAGTGTCACATAAGTATTGTTAATTTCGTATTTATAGAATGTTTTGGTACGTTTTGGTTGTGCCAAAATTTAAAAGAAAATTTAGATATGCTCCCTTTCAATTTGCCAACAAAAATAATACCAAAAATAACCAGCAAGAAAAAACTCATAGAGGCTGTAATATTGTCAATTTGTTATTATATTATCTTATTATAATTGTTAACAATACTTTCAAAATTATACGCTTTTCCTTAAAATCGGAAAGTGAAATAATTAAATTATTAGAATTTTATAAAATAGACTGTGTTGCTTAATGCCTTTTTTTTTGCAAAACTTACTGAAATGAGAGTAATTTACTCCTAAAATGGGCAAATTCTGAAATTTATTACTAAACAACACTGTTTTGCCTTAGTGCCGGTCACGGTTGCCACTTGAAAATTTTTTCCTGTACCAAAATTGGTTTAAAAAGGTACCATTTCTGTAAAAAAAGGTCCAAAATGTTTTTAGACGTTTTTGTTTTTTCGTTCTGTGTTTTTCATAGTGTTACAAATGAACAAAATATAAAATAATGTAAAGTTGCATTTATAAAAATTAATTGAAAATATCTACAACAAAGTTGGGTCGTCAAAAATGTACCATTTTTTGAACATGAGTACCAAACGAAAAAAAGTACCAATTTTGGTACTAAAGTACCATAAGTGGCAACCGTGGTGCTGGTCACAAATACGCCGTCTCTCTTGTCGGAGTTTGAACGGCCATATTGTTTTTTTCTCTCATTCTCAAATTACTCATGCTCAAATTTTACTCTTGCCGTGCCCGAGACACTCTGCATAACATGGCCATTAGAAAACAATTAATTTGAAATATATTCATACTCTAACAGAGACGTATGGTACAATCGCATACGTTCCGCGGTTACTATATAATCAAGATAAAAACCTATATATAAGATAATACAATAACATCAATATTAATTGTGCTTAATATTAAAAAATTTATTTAAACAAATTAGCGATTTTATTTTTGTACACATATGCTTTCAATTCAATAAAAAAATACATTAATAGGCATAAACTCTGACATTTATTACTGACCAACACTGTTTTGAGCAATATGACGAGGTACAAAAAGCCTCATCACCGTGACCTAGTCTGAATATAATTTTTTCTATCTCTAAAATCCGTTTATTTAATTTACATGAAAAACAACAATAATTTCACATTTGACGTGACCATGACTGTCTGTATAACATAACCCTGAAAAAAATAATGTATTGAAAACTGAATATCCAAACTTTACCAAAATGGTATTCACACCGTTATTTTTTACTGCTTACTCTTTAGCCGACTCTATCATTGGGCTCTGTTGAATTTCACTGTTGTTTAGAAGGGAAACATGATTCCATTAAGAGAGTTGTTATTAAAATGTACATATTTAATTGATAGTTAAATATCTTCTGGTAAATAATTCCACTTTGCATTAAAGTGGAAAGAATAATTTTTGCAAAGTACTTTAATATTCAATTGGATTATCCAGTATCTGTTTGAAGAGGTTATAAAACTATACATTAATTCAAAAAAGTTGTGGTTTTTTACAATAAAAACTACAACATAATTGAACTCGTAAAAAACTCGTAAAAATTTATCACAATTTGAAAGTAAAAAATCGCTTATAATGTGAAAAAAGTACTAGTATTTAGTATATAGTATATCATTTAGCAAAAAAAAGCAGTAAAAACTTTAACTTATTTTTCAAATATATTATTTGCAATAAAATAATTTTATAATTGTATTTTTAGTATTTTCAATTAAGTAGAATATTTTTAACTATAAATGAAAACCTTTAAATTAAAAATATTATTGCACATTATTTTTATAACGAAATGTTTTTACATTTATTTCAGTATTTTTGGCCAAACAGTTGGTAAAATTCAATACCGACACAAACAAAACAGCAATATACATCCAAGTATTGAAAATTGAATTCCAATAGCAAAAACAAATAATGTGGCAACATCAAAACAAAGGAAAAAAATTTAATCAAGCATAGTAGAGTGGTTGGCGCAATGCAAAAAAATTCAATACTCACCGCAACATAAAAACTCGAAACCCAAACTTCAACAAAGTGAAGCAAAAACGCAGTACGAAAAAATTAAAATTGGAAAACGAAAAGTAAAAGTAAAAGGAATTAACAAATCCACGCCATTGCAAGAACCAACAATAATAGAAAACTAGAAATTTTCCACACAACCCAAATGACAACATTTAGAGAAAGGATAAAACACAGCGGAAAGACAACATGAATCTCGATCAGCAACAACAGCAACAACAATCGATGCTTGCTCCAAATGAGATATATGCAAACTACAATCCCAACAATGATGCAACACAGGGTACACTACAACCGGTCGCAACAACATTTGTGACTATTGGTATGCTACCACCACCGCCACCCGAAATCGCTACAATTTCTGCGGCTGGCACTCCGGGTAGTACGACGAGCACATTTAAAACGCCACTCTTACCAATGCCAACATTAGAGGATATCGAAGGCGGTCTAGCGCCTAGCAATATACAACAGCCTATACCAGGTGGCATATTGAAATATCCAACAAACACAATAACTATGAATTTGCCAATTGGCATGGGCCCTGGTCCACCAAACTTACCACCCCCAACACAAACTCTATCAGCACAACAGCCACCGCCTGCAACACTTACAATCGATGATACAACATCGTGCGGCACACTGAAAAGTAATGCAAAACTGCTGCATAGCACAGGACCGACATTGCCACCACTTCCACCGCTACCACCACCAACTGTGGGCATCTTAACGAACTCTGGCAACAGTGGCAGTAGCATGGCTGCTCATGGCAAAGGTGTTGGCAGCAATAGCGGCAGCACAGTCACAAATCTAAACAACTCAAGCAGTAATTTACATCATAAACCAGCAACCAAATGCTGTTGTTGTTTTGGGAGTGGGCGTAGTGATTCCAAACCTAAGAAACGTAAGCACAAGAGGCAAACACTGTGGTCGGCATTCCTAACGAATTTGGGTATTTGCGCTTTGCTTTTGGCTTACACGCTTTTAGGTAAGTCAGTAGTCAGTAGTGGTTTTAGAAAATTTACAAACTTTCAGTTTTCTACTTTCCAACAAATACTTTTTTGTTGTAATTATAACGAAAAATATACTCAATTTGATAAAGTTATTTGCGCTATAAACTATATTTTAATTTAACTGATATCTCAGTCAACTTGTGCATTGTTCTAGAAAAACCAACCAAAACCAAACCTATTGATGCAAAAAATATCTTTTACTTTCTCAAAAGTTGCTCTTCATTTTAAAACTCATAGTTTTATGTTAGTTTTTATTTTATTTAAGTAAAATTTATCAGTTTTAAATTAAATTGAAAAGATCTGTTTTTAATAAAACATACTTTTATAATAAGTCAAAAATTATACTACTGCAATATTATTAAAGGTTCTGCTGTTTTATTATAACATAAGAAACTTATAAATTTGATTAAATACAGACGCTGCACTCATCCACACACCATAAAACTGTGATAGCAAAAGAAAGAGAGATTTATCTTACAATGAAATTATCAATATTTGGTCATCCTACTATTAACTAGAACTATTTTCTTTGTATTTTCCAACTTATACATACATTTAAACAAAATAAATTTCCAATCTTTGCCTAAGCTTTATTACCATCATTTTTATCCTTAACTAAGACTACTGTAACTCCTTTTGGATGTCCTGGAAATAGGAACATCGAAGCGAACAAAAAAGCTAAAGGTTTAATCCGCGTTTATGCTTTCCTGCGTGGAGGTGACGAATCATGGATATATGTGTATGAGTCGGAACGTAAACAGTAGTCGATTGTATGGGTGTTTCAAGATGAACCGAATCCTACAAAAGTTGTTCACTTGTTTTTTCGGAAAAACTTGTCATGTGGCAATTATACCAACTATACCATTACAGAAACAGTTAATTCCGAATGGTATACCAGTACAACCATTTGTTTACCGGAAATCTTCAGTAAAATACGGAAAATAAGCACTGACGGAATATTCCCTATCAAGACAATGCGAGTGCTCACAGATCTCGTCTAACAGTCTATTTGAACATTCAAATAATCGGATTGATGGGTCATCTGCTGTACAGTCCTGATTTGGCACGCAATGACTTCTTCTTGTCCCCGAACCAGAAATCACCGCTGTACAGTCCTGATTTGGCACACAATGACTTCTTCTTGTCCCCGAACCAGAAATCACAGACAGGCCAACACACAAATAGATAATCAAATCTACAACCTATCTCAGGGTTGCAGCATTAAAAGAGCACCGAACAGAAAAATGTAGGACCTGATTGATTTTTGTATTCTTGATATTAAAAATTATGATATATATAAAAAAAATTTCTGTTTAAGACAGTTAGCAAGGAATTTGCTATTTTGTTGTGTAGTCTCTAGAAAAAAAATTCATCTCATATTTTAAATAGTGATTATTCCTAAGTGGTTTAACGATTTATTAGCCAATGAACGATTTCATCAAGAAAGAAAATGTAGTACTATCATCATAGTTTAATAAAAGTTATAATAATTTTAAAATTTTGTGAGATACACAAAATTTTCTTAGAATATAAAACACTCCTTATTTTAATATTAAAAAATATTATAAAATTCTTCAAAATCTGATGATGGCAATGTCGTTACGGAAAGTATGTGTAAATGTTAAGCATAGCTTTTAGTGACACAAATGTATTTAAATGTTTTTTCCCTGGATACATAAATTTCTAAACTACATGAGGAAGAACTTCTCAACTTATATGTGTCAAAAAGTTTAGGCAAACTTTTAAATCTTTAAAATAAAAACAACTTACATTTCTGTAGGGATAGATCCACGCTCTTACGCATAATATTCTTAACATAATAATTTTGCTGTGGCATTAGTGTGGCACATTGGCGCATTTTGACGGTAACATTTTGTGTTAAATGAGTAAAATCAACATAATCGACATAAGCCGCAACAAGAAAGAGTACCACGGTGAAATCCGGAACCACAATTCGCACAAAAACAACAACAACAGCAACAACAACAAAAGAACAAAAACTGACAGCGTGTAAAAGACAGAAACATTTTAGAGTTAAAATGTTTTCAGTATTGCCATATGCGAAAAACCTATCAACTCAACTGTCGCCGTTATTTTTCTTCATATTTTTTTTTGTTTCTTAGTTCAACCAATCTAAAATCATTCACCACTTAAACCAACTAAATACAGATATACATTCATATACACAATATATAACTATATATCTTGTATATAAATCCCGACATAAGTGAAAATAGGGAAACAAAAGCCATTTCCTTTTAATTTTCAAAAGCACTTTGGGTTTGGTGAATGTGGCAATTCGCCAGTTACTGATTGTACTAAGCTCAACATAAATTTTTAATTCATTCAATGTGTTCTTTGGCGTTTTGACACGTACTCAAAAGCGTTTTCCTTATAAAGCACTTTTCCGCAGCCTTTGTGTATTGTTTCAACTTTTTGGTTGAAGCAATCGACCATTCTAAACCCGAAAACCTAATACGGAAATTCAAAATTAAAATATTAAAGTTTATTCATACAGAAAACGATGTTGAAATTTAACTTTTGAAATACAAAATGTATCTTTTTAAGAAATCTGCATTAGTGTGCAGTTCAAGCAAAATCAATATAAACTTTTATTGTCTTGGCTTACAACACTTCATAAGCATGCAGAAGCAAATACTGCTGGTTTTCAACGCTTCATATTCAAACAAAAGCTAATGCTTCTAGCTTTAAGCGCTTCTTATCCAAGGTAGAGTTACTAGTTCCGGCTTTTAATAATTTCTATTTAAGTAGGAGTTAATAATTCTGATATTCAACGCTTCATATTCAAGCTAGAGTTAATAGTCCTGTCTTTTAATGTCTCTAATTGACTCATAAATTAATTACTCAGCATTTGTTGCACAAGCAAAAGTTAATTGTTCTAACTTTCAGCACTTCTTAAGCATACAAAAGTTAATACTTTTAGCCTCTAACGCTTTATACTACAACAAAAATTAATACTCTTGACTTTGAACGCTTCTTACTCAGGGAAGAGTTATCAGTTCCAGCTTTTAATATTTCCTGTTTAAGGATACGTTAAAATTCTGGCTTTCAATGCTTCATACCCAAGCAGAAACTAACACGTTTAGCTTCAAATGTTTCTTACTTAGAGTAGTTAATAATTATGACTTTCAGCACTTCATCCTCCATAAGAGAATACTTCTGGTTTTTAATGGCTTTTAATGATAACTTCTTACCGAAGCAGGAGTACATACCTTCAGATTTCAATGTCTATTGCTTAAGCAAGAGTTAATACTTCTGGTTTTCAATGCTTCCTACTAAAGCTGGAGGTAGTACTTCTGACTTTAAAAACTTCTGAAACTAATTTGGAATTCAAACTTGAAACACTTCTTAAGCTTAAACGTCACGTTAAAGTTAATACTTCTGGTTTTTGATACTTACCGAACAAGTTTAGAATTCAAACACCAAACACTTCTTAAATAAACAGAAGTTAGCCTCATTAGAGCACTTCTTGAATACACAGAAATCTACAATTAGTGGTTCTACTCTTTCTAAAGTATATGGGTTCAACCTTAAAGTTTCATACTAAAGCTTATAATTCCCAGTCAGCAATAAAAAAATTATATTTGCAACTTATGTACTAAAACGGTTTAAATCAGTGACGAATATTAAGGCCTATCTAAATTACTATAAAAAGAAATCACAAGAGGGCACGGATTGTGGAAGAACGCAAGGGTACATGAACTATAAACTATATGGAAGCTGTGGTATCTTTAAATCTTTGTTAACATCAAGGTATTTCATTTTAAACATCGAAGCTTATCAATAAAAATATGAATTGTAAAGAATCCTGTTTCGTGGAGTTTTATCTTGGCAGGGGATTTCCAGACAGTACAATTTAGATTCGATTTACATTCAGAAATTGTTAGGAACTATGTCACCATGTAACTGCATCCTTTGAAACTCACTTTAGTTCCATAGGCGCGTAGCAGTTAAAAATGCCATTGTGTCCTTTAACAAGATGTTACCTATTTTCGTTATAAATGGATAGGCAGCTGATAAGTACCGGAGTCAGAGTCCGACGAGGTTATCACAGTGGCATGGAATGCGTTCTGCTATGTTCTCTTCTTCATCATAAAGTTCTCCAGTAACACCAAGGTTCGATAGATGCTTTTTGACTTCGCAATTTCTAGTGATAAACCAGACAGTATAATACATACCATTACACTACATGACACTATAATAGTCATTGCCGTAAGTTCTTCCTTTAATATGAAATTATAATATGAATGAATATAGATATCTGAATAAGGAACCAACTAACTAATAGCACACCATTACTAAATATTTCAAAAGATTCCCTATCGTATATAGTATGAGTTTTAATAAATTATTTGATAAATTTATATTTTCTTAACTATATTCAAATATTAATCTCCTTCCTTCTATACGTCTACATATTTATGAAATATTAAATATAGTATATTTCACTTTTACTCATTTTAATAAAATCCTTGAAACTATTAAACACAAACTATTTTTGATACAAAAAACTTGTTAAATAAATAAGAAAATTGAATGGCTTAAAACCCTACTCAATCATTATTAAATGCACACGTAATTTTACACCAACAGTTAATGCATTTTCCACGTTAAAATCTTCAACAAAAAACTCCGAGACTCGAATTAGCTGAGGAAGATTCCGTTTCAACAAATCACAAATTCGCATTGGATGAGAAGCAGAAGAGGAAAAAACCTTATAACATTGTAAAGTTCTAAAAGCCATAAGGGAAAAAGCTAATAACGTGACTTACACTAAGAAAACTTATATTAGCGAGCTTAGTCACATCACTACTTTGCGTACATCTATGTAATATATCTATGTAAAATATAACATACATACCCGTACATTTCTACTCCCCATATGCTTATACTGACACTAGCAGTCTTCATTTAACTTGATTTCAAGCAACAAAGTAGTAAAATAAATATTTTG